CATGCCTAAAATGCCTTTAGAAGAGCTTTTCGGGACCGCGATATATCGTTCAATTCTCTAGATTGTCAGCATCCCATTCATATATCCAAAATTAGGCAAAAGTCACTTTGAAAAAATACGTCCTGGCGACGCTTTCGTTGCGATTTAACCATCGCAACCCGTTTTTTCCACTAGACGCCTTGATTGTACACGTACACATCTATACAGTACTAATAAGTGAAGGAAGGAGTACTTTGAGTACGACCGTGAATCCTTGCCAACTAATTATATTAACTATGTTTTTTATTGTGCCAGTGAAAAAGCTGGTGCGAAATTTTCGAAAGTGATGGTTTGGAAATTTGCAATTGATGGGAATTTGCTGCCAGCGAGAAGCACAACAACTACATCAGCTCCAGTTGAAATAAATAGAGGAAGAAAATCTAAAAAAAAATAAATGAAACTCCAGAAAAATGAGTTGTTTGCCAGAAATCATTTTCCTCTTGGTTCCAGGAAAAATCCTATAACTTCTTGTCTTTTTCTTACGCCACACTACTTCCGCTTGTAAGTCAGCAGTTTGAAACTCTTTGTACACCTGCATACACGAACTCAATGAATTATAGTTTCTTATTCCATTTCTTCTCCTCAACTTTGCTGGATATTGAAATGTAAGACATTTCAGGCTAATAACTCGATAGTTAGCTCCTTTACCACCAAATTTGAACCAGCACTAGCAAGGTCCTTCTTGCCATGTTGGGATGATCCGGGAGTCAAAGTAGGCTGACGCAAAACAAACAATTCAAAAGTGGATTTTCGAAAAACATTTTCAGGCTACTTTTAACATTTCGGTTCTCCATCATCCGAAGTATGCAGTGTTATCCAATATGCCCAAAAGCGGAGAAAAAAGAAGAAGTTACGACGTGATTATGACAACTTTCCAAGAGACACCACCAATGTCCACTTATCTGCTTGCCTTCGCGATTGGTGGGGAAGTGGATGTACCTGAGATATGAGAGTAATTTACTTTTACAGGGGAGATGATACCATTAGAAATGCGTACGGAGCGAAATCTACCGCTCTCGATTTGGACCCATCCGGAAGATTTTTTGTCCGCTCGTTTTGCCGCCAATTTTTCGCCAGTAATGTTTGACAGAATGGAGGACGAATTTGAGGTAGTAAGATATAAACACTCTATAGGCAAAATGACAGAAATTAACTTCACAATTAGATATTGAAAGATGATGGGAAGATTACGGGTAAAAAAATATATTTTTCAAGCATCGTGTACTTCCAATCTCCATCTCCAAGAAAAAAATGTTGTGTAGGAAACATTCAAAACGTTTCCTTGTCTGTTACTGCGCTCGTCAACCCGAAACTAAAAACACATGAGATTTTTCATTTTTAAATCAGAATCATGGCAGTTCCGTCTCTAATTGGTCTTGCGCGCTTATTTTTTAAAATATAACTACAGTGTAGAGATTAATGTCGCGCAGTAGGACAGTTTTACAGTTCTGAATAAAAGTTCTAAGGTTAATCTAACGGAAAAAGAATACTTGATCAAATTTACAAATCGATAAATAATGCATACTGTTAAAGGCAGTTTATCTCAGCTAATTCCAAATATGTCTTCTGCGAGGGTTTATGGAAGTAGTTATAAAACTTTTCTGTGCCGAAAATAGCGTGTGCGACACCTCAACAATTGATCCACGATATCAGTCAAACCTAAAACAACTAGCAAAGGGTTATTTTACCATAAAGACATGTTCTCATCATAATTTCTTGAACCAAAACAGCCGTTGCTCTGTGTTTTAGTTCAAGATAAAATTTTCGAGCATTTTAACCCAGGCCTTGTAAGCGAATTTTGACAAAGAATCACGTCTATAACTAGAGAAAAGGTTCGCAAGTTAGGAAGACAGACTTAGATCAGCGTATCAATTTGCACTTTAGAGTATTTATTTCTTATAAATCATCATTTCGAACAAGTATCCTTCTCTTGTGAGTTTCAGGTTAACTCTCACCCCTTTCTGCGTAGCACATCAAAAATTGCCCTTATATTGGCTGCAGCTTTATGAACTATGTACTCCTCTTTAACACTTGTCCGGATACAGGTTTTGAAAACAGACATAGGAAAGGTTGCGATGTTGTGGAGTCCGCTCCTGAATTTCCGAGGTCATCAAATCCTTCGCAATTCTTTTGCGACTGAACAACACGCCTGCTTGGCCTATTAGTGGGAATTCTTAAAGGCTTTATCTCGTTTTGAAGAATCGTTGGTTTCTTGATAGAAGTACACTACACATAATAAATAGGTGGACTTGGTAGGCTTTCGATCTTTAGAAAACATTGCAATGCTCCAAAGCGGATACTCAACAAGATCTTATCTTTCAGGTCCCCTATCCGTTACCTAAAATGGACTTCGTTGCAGCTCGTAGTTTTCCTGTTGGTGGAATGGAGAATTGGGGTCTAATAGTTTTCGACAAACAGTCCCTACTTTTAGATAGTTCTTTAGAAGGTTCGCAGCATAGAAACCCAAATTCCGTAATAACACTGATTCCTCGTTTAGATGGTCTCAACATGACTGTGGATCGACTCTACCATGAGTACCGCATTGAAAAGATCATTACACATGAGATCGCACATCAGTGGTGAGTTAGATGTAAAAAGTGAGTGGAGAACTGCTTTAACTTACTCGCTGAGTCGTCTAGGTTCGGTAACCTGGTAACGATGCGAGATTGGTCTGATCTATGGTTAAATGAGGGCTTTGCGACGTACATGGTATACGAACTTCTAGCGGCAGAGCATCCTAGGTTGACTGAGAACGAATACTTGACTCGACTATGTCAACTAGTCAGGAAACAGGTGAATGTGACAGCTTATATGTTTGAGGACAGCACTTCTTGGTTTTGTACTGGTTCGAAACTTCTGCATATGTCTATGAGCGAGTGTCGGTGTTATTGCTGGTTGGGAAACCATACAATCTATCTTATAATAAGTTATTGATTATTTCATTTGAAAATGCGCCTAATACGCCAGCCTCC